ATTTTGTTATATGTAATAGTACCCCAACAAGTGCAAACTAAACAGTTAGTAAACATGTGGTTTTCCATACGTTAAGTACAGGTATTATTATGTGTATAATCATATGGGTTATCACTTCATGTTCTTTTGTTAGATTCACTCCTCAGCTTTTCGCTGAGCGTGTAGTTGTTTTTGCTACACGCAGGTAGACATGACGGTACAGGTGCTAACCCTGGAGGACAGTGATGATGGGAGGATGGGCGGCGCACGGACGAGTTTAATAATTATATACATTTAATCAATTAATCATTTGGGGCAAGAACCCACCATTTGTCGTTTTACTTATTTTGGACTTGTTTATTTACTTCCGCTTTTACTCTGCATTTATATCACACACGTTTTGGAAATAACTCTCTAGCATTTATTTCACCAATTAATTGTAACCATTTTCATAATAAATGAGCAATAATGTTTTACGTTACGGACGGTTCTCGGACCGCCCATGTAACCCTACCGGTCCGTTGGGTCGCGGGTGAACCGGGTCCACGGAATGCGGGTGTTACAATTTAGTATTAGAGAAGTTCGGTTTTGTGAAGAAAAAAACAAAAAAACATATTTTGTCATCTTGGTCAAAAGGTATTTTCAAAAGTCCACAGCCGCATCTTCCATCACATCACTCCCAGGGAAGGTACACCGTTATTTAATTCATTTATATGTCATATTGTAATTAGTTCTTATTTGAGCTCTTCTTATAGAGAATGAGCCAAGCAGCAGGCAGCGACGGACAGGCTGTCCCACAGGGGGAGCCTGAGCACGTGAGCACACATTGAAGCATCAAACTAACTGTGTTATGTGCTCACTTGTTCCTATTTTGATACTTTGCGATTGTTAGATGAGTACCATTAGTACTAGAAGCGTGTAGAGCGTTGACTCCAGTCGAACCTTCGTGCTCGGTAAGAGACGAAAGAACAAGAGACAAAGTTATGATTCGAAAGAGCGCTACCAACGTGCACATCGCAAGGCTAAGGATCTGGAAGCGCCGGAAGGCAGCATGGGAAAGAGATTATCCAGAGGAAACGTTCAGCGTGGACTCTGCCAGCAGTATATGCGCCGCAGGTGTGGATAATCCTCCAGTGGACTCAGCCCGACTAGACGAGTGGGAGTGGGTTGCCTGCTAACTGATGGTATAGTCGAGGTTGTAATCGATGCAACATCTCGTCCCACTTATCTAAACCAAATATGTTCCTTGAATGAAACCCGTCAATTGGTCTTTAATCTATTATGCACTCGTATGCTTCACAAAATAAAGTTTTGGGTAACGCACTATCTCCCTAAACACGTGAGGTGTGACTTGAGGAGAATTTCGGGGACGAAATTCCTTTAAGGGGGGGATAATTCTAACGCCCTCAAACCGGCCTAGTTTTAAATAAATAAATATTATTTATTTATTGAGACTCATTGTTTTAAATAATAAATATTGAGATTTTGATCCCATTAGATGGACTCCAAAAGTTAATGTTTTTTTTAAAATATAAAAAGATGTTTTAATAACGGACCTCTCGACATTAATTAAATAAATTAATTAATGATTGGGGTGCATCCGGAAGTTTAGAAATAAAGTTACTAGAAAAATTATTTGAACATGTCATTAAATTCGTCTTGACTGACTGATTCCAGAAACGCAAACGGATCTCAACTTGGACCCATTCGGGGGGGAAAGCGCGTACCGTTCAGGTCAGATTTTAACATAACAGAGTAAAATAAATATGTGTAACCCCCATCATTCTCATGCCACCCACACCTCCAAACCATTCATTTTCCCTTACAACTAATACCCATTATTATTCTATTAATTTCCATTCAATATATTAGTCCCTTCCCTTCACCTCCTCCACCACATTTTTAACTCCCACACATACACAACCCTCATCCTCCTTCACTTGTTTTCGGCCAAGACAACAGCAGCCAAGGGGGAAGTTTCCGACGAGAAGACGAGGAGGTAGAAGAGAAGGAGGGCTACGCGAGAAGTTGTTCATTCATTGGTTCGTCCATTCGTCGTTCATTGTCATCCATCCGTTCAATTCACTTACGTTCCGTCAACCCCTTCATTTAGAGGTGAGTAGTTGTCCCCTCTAATTCTAGAACATTTAGTTATAATCTATGTTGTTATATCCATAGTAATATCGTACGCAACGTACGTAGAATATATGCATGTTCGTAGGTTAGCCAACAAAACGTTCACTACGTAAAACGTATATATATTGGCCTAAGAATCACTAGTAATATATTCACAAATGTTTGTATTATTGTTCTAAAAAGAATCAAGTTGTTAAGTTTCCAAAATGGATCAAAATGAAGCCAAAGACAGTGGACTGTCTTCGGGACGGTCGACCACCGCTACGGACGGTGGACCGTTCCCTCGGCCAATCCGTCGGTCACCACCGTGACGGTCGACCGTCAGCCGCGACGGAAGACCTAGGTGGACCGTCAGTTACCCAGAACCAGACCGTAGCCCCACGGGTACGGTCGACCGTTCCTCGGGCAGAATTTCGGGCAGTTTGTAGAATGAGTTCCGTTGACCATATTGACCGAGAATCTGATTGTATGTTTGCATTAAATGTTAATCTACAGTATGTATGTTATTTAATTGATATATTCTTGGCGTTGACCAAAGGTAAATATATCAAGCATTCATCATTTTCATCCTAGGCGCATGTCTTAGGTTTCTCATCATGTGCATACCACTGTAGGGAGGTCAGGCTTTCGTGCGCCTACTACAGTGGGCCCGTCCAGGAACCTTTGGGATCCAACGGGTTTTCATCAGGTGGGCTTTGTCTACGTACGTGGTAGTGAGGCTACGGCTACCACCCGGTTTTTGCTTTTTAGATCTCACATTTCAAATTTTAAATTATAACTTTTCAGTTTTTAATTATTAATTTTTAGCTTTAAACGTTTTTTTTACATTTAAATTCTTTATTTTTAATTTTAAAGTTTAAATTTAAATTTTTATTTGTAAATTTAGATTTAGCTTCTTTCATTGGTCAAAGAAGTAAAATTAAGTTAGGAAAGTCAAAAGTCAACCCAAAAACTATTTTCTAAAAACATTGAGAGTCTATAAGATTAGTTTCTTTGTTATGACCCAAAAGAAGTTCACATTATTTTATTTTGAACTGTGGATTTCAGATTATGGATTTCAAATTCTTTTCTTGTGTTATGAAATTCAAAATGTGGAATTAAAAAATTTGGAATTTGAATAAAAATTCCAAATCCCCATATTTTTGTGTTGCCAAACAGAAAAATTGGCACTAAACTCTCAAAACCACTTAAATGACTTTAATTTCGTGTAACAAAAGAAGCCTTCCAAATGCTATAAAAAGTGAATGAGTCTGCGACATAATTTCGAGAATTTCGAGAAAAAACCAAATGCTACAAAAAGTGAATGAGTCTGCGACATAAAATGAAGGCTTTTGTGACAAAATGATCTTTCACAAGTGACTATTCCGTCGCAGATTTGGTGGTGGCAAAATACAAAGTTCATTGTAAATGTGATGGTTGCAGGTCACATCTGTGACAGAATTTTGACATGTGCGACAGAATTTCCCTCGCAGATTAGACAAGCCGCAAAATGTCATCGCAAAATAAGTCTGTCCAAAGTTATTGTCATCGCAATTAGGGGTGGGTTCGGTTTTATCGGCCCGATTTTTACCCAAAGCTAAAGACGGAACGGAAGGTAAATTTGTGGTTCAGTTTGGTTTGGTTTTATACAATAAAAATGGAAACTATTGGTGATTCGATTCGGTTTTTTGCGATTTTAAAAAATATTAATTTTGTAAGATGCACCACTATATACTTTTTAATGACACGAGGAAAATGACTAAATGAGTAGTATTAAAAAATATACTCCGTATACAAAGGAAGTAAAACTATGACTAGCCTAGTGGATCGGATCAGATTTTTAGTGGTGACCAATCTCGAAAGGAAGTGTGAAGTAGGGGGTCACATTGCTACAATACTAACCAAGCAAATTATAAAAAAAATTATAGGAAAGAAAAAAACTATTTGACAATATATGATTCTTATCAAGACTTTCATTAGTTTTGAAAATAACATGAGAAAATATAAAGCTTGAATTGAAGAGCATACTGTAAAAATATAAACAAGACCTTCATTTCATCATCATCACATCAATATCTATCGGAGAATAAAAAGAGATATTGGAAAAGCGTCAAATAAGAAATTATTTATAAAAAAAATATTTTCTAGAAAAAATGAAAAGAGAAAAAAAAGATATCAGTAGTTGGATTCGGTTTTCAAACACAAAAATCGAAAAGAAAATGGAATAGAAATAGTTCAGTTCGATTTTTTGTATTCAATTAGTCTTTTTGGTTTCGTTTTTATTTGGATACAATTCGATCAATCTCGATTCAGTTTTCAATTTTTCGGACTCAACCCTAGTCGCAATTTGATTTTTTTTTCTTGTGGAATTTGACAGGGAAGGGCATACCACTGGCCACATCCAGGCCCATAACTCGGGACCATGAATCTTACCTAAAGTAATTTAACACGGAGTAACTCTAATTAATTCTTTGTTGGTGAATTTAGCTCATATGTTTTTAAGATAAATATAAAAGCGATAAATAGGGTTTTGATTTGTTGTATCTAAGCTCAGGGTTTTATAGCTACAATCTCTTTACTTGCAAGGAGGGTGAGATAATGGATTGTCCTAAGTGGATAATCGATTGTTGAGGGCTTCAGGTTCTTGGGCAATTTTCGTGGAATTTTCTGAGAAGGAAGATAATCGATTATCAGAGGAGTGTCAATCGATTATTAGAAGTTGCAGGTTTCTGGGGAAGGCTTATAATCGATTATCTGATAGTGATAATCGACTATTGTGTTGGGAAACGAGGCTTGGATAACGCAGCGAAAACAAAAATTTATAGTCCAAAACTCGATTCCACCCAAGAACAACTTACGTAAATTACTAGCTATAGTAAGAAATTTACCTTAACGGTGAAAACGGAGAACGGAGGAACGGTCGGGGATAGGTTTGAGGAGATGAACGTAGCGCCAAACGTATGAAGCCTCCAACGTATCCACACGAACTTGCTCCGGAGTCCAAGATTAAACTTGTGCTAGCAAGTTTATTATAGGATAGTAAAAACTATAATAATACTACTTTGGGAGTAATAAATATATAGTAAAATATTTATCTTATAAATATTTGTTTATAATATTTTGTGTATATTTCTAACACTTTAGAAAAATAACTTTGAACACAAAATAATATTTTCTTCTCTCTAAAATTGGGATGGCCGAATCTATTAAGTGTAAGAGGGGAGGGATTGTTTTTCATTTTATAATAAACAACTTAAATGAATTTCTAGGAAATAGCTTAGGGACAAAACAAATTACGATTAATGTAATGTCCCCAACCAACACAACAAGACAAATATCCTTTTGTTAATCAAATATTTGATTATATCAATCAAATATATCATTAGGTAGAAAATCAATTTATGTCTTGTATTTCCCCTTTG